AGCAGAGCCGTGCGGGCCGCTCCTGCTGTTCCGCTGTGGCCAGAAGCACAGCCAGAAGCTCCCGGTCACGGCGGCGTGGTGTGCGTGGGCGAGGATCCAGGCTGTGCGGGAGGCCCAGGGGACAGGCCCGACTTGAACACTGCACAACGGCTGACCCCCTCCTCGCCCCCCACCCCCCACGCAGTGTGCTGGCTGGCGGGACATTGCTCTCTGACACCACATGGTGACAGCGGTTTGTGGCTGAGCCTGAGTGAGGGTGGCCGGCGTGAGAGCACCCTCAGAGGCCCAGGAGGCGCCGGGCTGGGCTGGGCTGGGCTGGGCAGGGCAGGGCAGGGCGGTGATGGCGGGTGGGAGCCAGGACGTCCCCAGGAGCACAGGTGAGCACCTTGTCCTCCTCCTGGGGCGTGGAATAGGGATGGCATGGGTGACAGTCACCCTCTTTACCATGGCCTCTGCCTGTGGCCTCTGGTCCCCCCTCCTCAGTGCAGTGCTGAAGTGAGCTGCGGGCCCTCAGTGGGCTCAGGGCTGCGTCACAGACCTGGCAGGGGCCAGGAGCAGCCCTCCCCGCTGCTGCAGTGGGGACACCCAGCCACGTGCCCTCAGCCTAGAGCCAGGCAGCCGGGAAGGCTACGGGGGACAGGAGGAGAGCGTGGCCCTGTCCTCCGAGGGCCCCTCCGCACATCCCAGGGGACTTGAGTTTAAATGTGCAGGTCTCAAGACCCCCGGCCCCCTCCCATCCCCCCAGCAGATATGCCATCAACAAGTGCATGCAGGCTCTGGGCTTGCAGCCAGCTGGGGGTGACTGAGAAGTCTTTGTGGGCCTTGTGTGCTGGCCAGTATGGCCTGGGCAGGTCCACACTGGTCGCCTGTGGCTGAGCCCAGGACAGTGCACAGCTGCTTTCATGGTGCGAGGCCCAGGCTGCTGCTCACCGGCCTGTGGCCTAAGCGCCGGACGTCAGTCTGCTGGTCTGTAAAATGGGGGTAACGAGAACAGAGCAGTGGGGCATTAGCTGGTGGTGCCCCGAATGGCTCCGGGCAGCGTCTGGCGGGAATGAACTGCCTCCGCCTCGGGAGCGGGGGAAGGTGGGCAAAGCCCGAGGATCTGGGAGGTCAGCAGTGTTCGGAGGCAGTGCTGTCCTCAGGGACGCCCAGGGTGCTTGAGCGGCCGTGACTTGTCTCTGTGCATGGTGACCTGGGCTTCCAGTGAGATGCTGCAGGTGCACACAAAGGGTGACGCATCTGTCACACATTAGCTGACAGCCGCTGGGCCGCTCCCCCGCTCGGTCCAGCCCTCAGAGGGACAGAAGGGGCCGTCTGGGCGGGACGCAGAGCTGCCCGCCTGCTTCTCCCGCCCCTCCCCCCCTGCCCCAGCCCCAGGCCCAGGCCCCTTTTTCTCCCTGAACTTGCGGCTGGTCCTGCCCCAGGGCCATTGCCCAAGCCACTGGCCACCTGGCCAGCTCCTGCGCACCCCTCAGGTCCCAGCCCAGTGTCACCTCCAGAGACCTCTTCCCCTGAGCACGAGCTCAAGAGCCCTGCCCCCTGGCAGCACCTCAGTGTGTGACCTCAGGCAGGCGTCCTAACCGCTGTGTGCCTCGGTTTCCCCATTTGTAAAATGAGAACAACAGTGCCCTCCTCGTGCTACTAACTCAGCAGTGCCTGAGCATCTACTGTGTGCCAGGCCTGAGTGGGGACCAGACACACGTGCTGTGAGCCAGAAGCAGGTTGGTGAGTGGGAAGGGTCCGCAACTGTCAGCTGCCGGGATCCCTCGTAATCACGGTTCGTGACGTAATCACCGTCCAATTCACTCGGTTCCGTGGTCGTTTGTTTATCGTGGGTCTGTCCACGAGACTGTCCCCTCCTGATGATGGACAACAGGGCACTGTCTCCCCAGGTCTCCACTGTCCCCCTGTGCCCGGCACAGCGAGCAGTCCGTGAAGGTGTGTCAGGTGGGAAGGCGATACTGTCCGGGAGAAGGATCTGGGACCGTCCCCTGGGAAAGACACTGTGACCCAGAGTCAGCTCCCACAGGAAGACAGGACACCTCTTCCTGTCGTCCTGGCCGACACCCCACCAGCTGGCTTCCCTGTGGGGCCCTTGGAGGCTGGGGCTCCGTTAGACGTGGGCCTCAGTTTCCTCGGCTGTACGGGAGGCTAATAATGACATTGCCCCCATGGGGTTGGTGGGGTCATCAGAGCTGGAATGTGATGGTGGGAATGACAGTTTGGCCATCTGTCCCCATGGTCCCCCAGAGCTGCCAAAGCCCAGCCCCAGCCAGCCCGAGGCACCGCAGTGCGCACCACACCTGGTGCAGGGTCGGGGGAGGGCCACAGGAAGGGCGCCCCGCCCCCCGCACCAGGGGACAGCATTGAGTCCTGCTCCCCCCTATAAGTGAGGACGGTGGCTCGCGGTGGGGAGGGCTGCATGAGACAGCGCGCGCAGCGAGAGCTTCTAGTTCACCCGCGTCGTGTCGCACGTCACAGCGCCCCCGCGCCCCAGCCCACCGTCCAGCCCCGCGTTTGCGGGTCCGGAGCCAGGGCTGGGACCACAGGACAAACGGACCAGGTGCCTGCGGGACTGGCGACCTGTGGGCTCAGCGACAGGCGGATCTGTAAGTGCTGCTGGGGCGGTGGCCGCACCCGGTAAATGCTCTAAAAGTCAGCGAGGGGCGTCCCGGAAGAGACGCACGTGGTGCCCCCGGCGACAAACGGGGAGCGGGTGGGGGTGGGGGCTGGCAGCGC